CGACGTATCGTAGAGAGAAGGGACATGATTCGATAGGGGGGGACTTAACTAGGACGCGGTTCGAGGTGCAACGCAGTTTCTTCGACAGTAGTCGAAGTCGAAGGGTTCGTCGAGACGGTATCGACGAGTGGACGCAGTGGACGAGGTTTCGAGGTTACGCAGTGAGGAACGAAGTGACGCAGTTGAGGACGTAGACGCAGGGCGAACTCGACTTATGAGCTCTGAACTAGAGGGGGGGAACGGATCTTGTATTTTTGGAGAGAAGTACAACAGATTTTATACTACACAGGACGCTACGACTATTCGAGAGTGGCATACGAGTACAAGGGGCTTTGCATTGTTCCTCAAGAAGCTGCCTCACCGAGGGGCACACACCAAGTCCATCGGTAGAGTGACGTCATGCCGAACGCGGAGATGAAGAGTAACATATGGCCACTTCGGACCGGTAGCCGTCGTGAAGGCATGCCGCGAGGTTCGATACTTAATCGGGAAAGACCGGCTACTTCGGTGTGGCTTGGAGCGAAGCGCACGCTTGGCCGAGCGGCGTCAAGTGGCCCTATTGTTCGCCGAATGCGGAAGATGTTCCGAGATCTACGCACGAGGCATCGGAAAGACCGTGCCGAGCTTCGAGTAAGCGTCGCGCACCGTCGAAGGTGTCGAAGAGCGTCGAAGGCGAAATCGAGGTGTTGGGAGACTGAGTCGAAGTGCCGGGCGGGATGCGAGTGCCGAAAAGAGGTGAATCGGGGCCCAGAGGGGCTTGGCGCCTATCACCGGGCACAAGTTCGATCGCATGATCGTACGGCTTCCTTTCAGGTAGCCGTTCTGATGCTTCCTTGGAGAAGACATTCAGGAACTCGTGGTACTGTTTAGGTACCGACTCCTCAGCGGTCTTAACGACCTTCTTCTTGATCTCCTCCTCAGCGAACAGCTGGGAGTACGTATGCCCGGCTGCAACGAATAGCCGAGGGGCGCCAGGAAGCGTAACACCTTGCTCCCAGGCTTCGATCAAGTCGGCCTCATCCCACTCTACTTCCGTCGGATCTTCTTCGGTTTCGAGGTCCGGGAGTACCTTACTCCGGCAGGCACCTATGACTGACCGTTTGGACTTTGGCGAATGCCTGCGCGCCATGGGCCTGACCCCCGTATCATGCTCAGTCGTTGCCTGCTCCATCCGGCCAGTCCTCCTGGCACTGCATGTTTCAGGGCATCATGACAATTTGAGGGAGCCCTTTTCCCAATCGATCTCAGGGTTGTGCTCGCATAGCCAATCCAACCCTACGATCGCATCCTCTGGACCAATGTCCATGACCGTGAACACTGTCTTCTTGATGTGTTCTCCTATTTGCATTTGTAGCACTGCTACTTCCGAGATGCTTCCATCTTTATTGAGGGTGCCGTCGATATTGTATAGCGGAATTGGTTCCTTCAACTTCCGCGTATGCACCTTATTCTCTACTACGAATCGTTTGTTGATAAACTTCGTGGTGGCTCCGCTGTCCACCATAGCAATTATGTCCTTGTGCCGTCTTTTTCCTTGAAGTCGAACTGGGATGTGAAAGTGCTGGGACCCCTGGTCCAACTCATACACCATTGCAGTCGACAATACATCACACTTGTTACAGGATACTTGCGGCCCGATGCGTGCAGCACGAAGCGCGGACCGGATCAAAAACCCTCTTCCTTCATCGCCTGATAATGCTCGAGCTCCTCGCGCATTGACTTCACCTGTGCCATTAAGTCCGCCAGCTCTGATTGCTCGGATTTCGCTGAAGCGGCACTTATACTTGCTGAGGGTGATGTCGTGACGGGGGCGCTTGTCGCCGCCTGGGTAGAGCCCGAGGCAACCGTAGCCCGCGCATCGGCGCATTTTGTGTAAGGCTTGTCCTTACAATTGGGGCACTCGAATTGTCGGTACCCTTGCTTCCCACAGCCGAAGCAGGTGCCGGGGAAGTTTCCTTTTCCGACGGCCGCATTGATGCTGGCCGAAGCTGCGTGTGACTGGGGTGCACCACCACGTGCCCCTCCGCGTCCTCGACCTCGGGCTGAGAAGAAATTATTTAGCTCGGGCCGACGGGCCCGGCTAATGTCGAGGATCTGCTCGACCTCAGTGGCACGCTTGTCAGCGTCTTGCCACGTGGTGAAAGTCTCGAGCTTGATCTTTTGGTAGACGCGGGAGGGGATGCCGCTCAAGTACTTTTCGCATAGCTCCAGGTCGCCGTACCCGGAGCGGTCCGCCGGACCCTTGAACAGCGTGGAGAACTCCGCAGCGGTGCGTTTTTCACAGACCAACTTGTCCGCGCAGAGCTTTGCCAGCTCTACTTGTGCTGCCGCCTCGTCGTCAAGATTTCCGAAACGGGCCTTGAAGGCGGCGGCAAAGGCCGCTTTGTTTTTGAATGGGGTTGTAGCCCCTTGCACACCTATCTGTACCGATACGAGCTGGGCAAAATAGGGGGTGGCTGTCACGAGTTGGTACGGCGTCTAGCCGTTTTTAAATTTTTTCCTTTTTGCGGGCTCGAACCCGTGACCTCTGTACTACTTGCCCGATACGGATGCATCATTATCTACTATACAATTAGATTAGATGGGACGGCACTGCATGGCACAGCTCGGGCTCCGCTGACACAGCCGCTCTGACTCATCGGCCCCCGGAGCCGCGTCGGCATGCTGTGCACGGATCAGCTGCGCACGGACCAACGCGCACAGCCTGCCCTTATCTTCCCCTGTATATAAGCCGGCCTCTGCTGCCCTAGGGACCTCAGTTTTGACCTCTTGTCCCTAGGTCAGTAAGCCTTCATTTGTATTCTTTCTTACTTTACTAACTAATACATTTCCTTGTCCCTAGCCTTAGGTTTGAGCGTTGCTCACCATCGCTTTGGTAAGAACCAGTCGAACGCCCCCAGCTTTCAGATTTTCCTCTGTCGCTCGACCTCAAGTCGCGACATTAGGTCGAAACTCCCCATAGCTGCCGGCGTTCCATCGGGACCCACACACTCACATTCACTTCCTATAGGTTGGGTGGTGCGCACCCCTTCTATACCCTACGATACATAGATAGCATACGATACATCGCCAACACTCGAGAAACGAACTCTTCAGTACCTGCGCTTCAGTGAGCGGTACTTGTCCTCACGGACGCGTAGCCTTGGTTCCTGCTGCATAATAGTCAAAAGCAGTATTGGGCCCTACGTGAACTGCAAATCTCGGTGTCATCTTGGGCGCCATAGGTGTAAGCTAGTATAGCACGGCCTTTCATAGCACGCGCACCTCCCCTTCCTCCCCCCCCTCCGATACGATGGCAAAACCGTCGTCGAATGCGACAGGTTTCTGTCGCAACTTCGCATCTATTGGATGGTTAACACGTCGTTAACCACCATTGAACTTAAGGTGCAGGTTGCGCTAAGCCTGCTCGACGGTGACGCCCGCACCTGGGCCACTCCATACTTTGCCCAGCTTGTATCAGTGCAACTCGGTGTCCAGGGAGTAACGACCCCTTTCGCAAATGAGGCAGCCTTTGCCACGGCTTTCAGAGCCCGCTTCGGCAACCTCGATGACGAGGCAGCGGCCCAGGTAGAACTGGCCAAACTCTGCGCGGACAAGTCGGTCCGCGAAAAACGCACTGCTGCGGAGTTCTCCGTGCTGTTCAAAGGTCCGGCGGACCGCTCCGGGTACGGCGACCTGGAGCTACGCGACAAGTACTTGAGCGGCATCCCCTCCCGCGTCTAC